ACGAAACATTTCTCCGGTGGGTCGTACTTAAAAATAAATTAAATTGATAATATTTGTATTTTAAATTTATTATTTAATTATTATAATTTTCTTAAATAATTTTTATACTAAAATTTTAATTATAACTATTATAAAAAATATTTTAAAATAATATTCTTTTTAGTAATTTATATTAAAACATAATCGTAATAACGAACCATTTATTTCTAACTACAGTCATTGGTAATGGTTGTCAATAACAACTTATCAACCATTCAATACTAATTGTTTATAATCATTATTAAACGTTGTGAAAACGTCACCTATAATCGTAACCGCAGTATTACAATCAATCGAATTCTTAGAATATATATGTATTCTCCTTAAATTGGAGGCTTGAATTTGGGGAGAGACATTTCTCGTTTCCGTTTTAATGGTTGAACTACCAAATTTGGATGAATTTTTATAATATTAGATATTATTAAGATATTAAATGTGGTTATTTCGGTTAAATTGTAATTTCGGTAAAATTAGGGATTAACTATGGAGATGCTAAAAATGGGTAGCTCGATAATGAAGCTTGCCAAGACACTTAGGACTAACCCTCTGTCAGTGAGACCGAAAGGTTATCACAGTTTCGATATCTCCAATGGGAAGGAGAAAGTTCCTGTCTTTCTATACAATGACATTGACAATGATCTTGAACCATTGTTTTACGAATACCTTGTGAAGACTGTGTTTACACCGGTTATTCATGGGGGCAATACAACTGGATGCAATTGTGAATCAAGTTGTACCAGTGATTGCCTTTGCGCCATCAAGAATGGAGGCAAGTTTGCATACGACTTCAATGGGAAACTAGTGAGAGGGAAACCTGTGATATTTGAATGTGGAAGTTCATGTAAGTGTCCTCCCGGTTGCAGAAACCGTGTCACTCAAAGGGGTCTGAGAAATACATTAGAGGTTTTCCGGTCACAGGAAACTGGTTGGGGAGTTCGTTCTTTGGAGATAATACATGCTGGAGCTTTCATTTGTGAATATGCAGGAGTTGCTTTGACTAGGGAACAAGCCAAGATTCTGTCAATGAATGGTGATATGTTGGTTTATCCTGGCCGATTTAGTTCAGTCAGGTCTGATTCTTGGGGAGATTTATCTCAGGTACACGTGAATCAAGAACGTTCATCTTATCCTTCGCTTCCACCTCTAGACTACGCAATGGATGTCTCGAAGATGAGGAACATTGCCTGTTACATAAGCCACTGTACTGATCCAAATGTCATGGTCCAGTTTGTTCTGTATGATCATAACAATCTGATGTTTCCTCGAGTTATGCTTTTTGCTATGGAGAACATCCCGCCTTTGATGGAGCTCAGTCTTGATTATGGAGTGGCCGAGGAATGGAGCGAGAAGCTTGCTATCTGTAGTTAAGAGTAATCCTTGGAAAAAGTTTTATCTACTTTTGTTATGATGCAAGAACTAACAGCTCGAGGTGATTATCGATTTTTCAGGTAATGTTCTCTTTACCTCCATGGATGGAAGCTTTGGAACTTATCACATCTTTACCCCCTTCACGGTCGAAACCTAGTAGTTTCTTTGCTATTTATTTAGCCTTTAATAAACCTAGTGAGAGTATTGCATATATAAACAAAGCATATAGTTTCTCTTCTCTATGCATATATGTCAAGTTGGTTTCATGTTATTATTTGATGAAATCTGTCTGATTACGCAGTTAACTAAGAGATCTCGTTTGATGCGATCAGGATATAGTTTCAGTTTTCGGGTTTGATAAGTTTGTTGTGGTTTCTGTCCATAATGGGTTTGACTGTAAAGAAGAGTGATATGGCATTGTACTTACAAGTACATGATCATCACTCCGAAAATGAGGCATCATATTACGTGCTTTTATATGTCGGGTTATTAGATATCTATGCGGGCCAGTATTATCCATCTGAGCTTTGACGTGCTCTTCAATGGCTTTGTTGCAGATTAGAAAGATGTCGGGTTTCGGCTGTCCATATCTATACCTTTTGCTCTTTTGTCTGTAGTCTGAAGAAAATGAAACAAGATTCTACAAAGCTGAAGATTTTTGCTGACCCTTCCGAACTGATGCAGATAGGATGTAAAGCGTATTGCTGATCAGTACAAACTCTATATTTTGGGAAATGCCATTTGCAAAAATGAAGTTAAGAACTTAAAAGTTCTTGGAGTATATGACTGTAACACAACTCAAAATGTGTCCTTTTTTTTGTCTGATAACTGTCATGTTCTTGGTATCCCTGAATCTATATAGGAATCTCTTGGAAGTTTAGGTGTTGAATGGTAAGGGTTTTGAGAGTTTTTAGATTTTAAAATCTCAAAAAATTGCCAATCAATTTTTTTAAATTTGGTTTTCCTAAAAACCGGAAAAACCACTTTATGGAAAAAAATTGAACTAAAAACTGGCTTTTATTTTGGGTTTTTGGCTTTAGTTTTTGGCTTTTTGATTTTATAAGTTTGTAAAACTAAAAAATTGTAGCTTTTGATTTTTAGTTGATTTTTTCCATAAAGTAGATTTCCGGTTTTTTTAGGAAAATCCAAATTTTAAAAAACCTGATTGTCGGTTTTTTCAATTTTTAAAATCCAAAAACTCTGAAAATACACATGATTATGAATCCAAAAACTCAAAATAAAAACTAAAAGGCAAAAACCAAAAATTAAAATCTAAAAACCAAAAACTAAATCCAAAAACTCAAAATAAAAACTCCTATCCATTCAACACTTAACATGATTATGAACAATGGTAAACCCTTTTTAACGATGTGATTTCGCATTCTTAACAACGAATGATTCCTTACTAGTCACAGTTCTGTGTTGAGTGAGCTTTGAAGAAGCATTGAACTGGTTTTGAGCACCCGAGAGATCTGAGAATGCAGAAAGGATGACAGGGGCTGTTGTGTACGAAATTGAAAAGTAAATGGGTTTATTTGTATTTTTCTTAAAATATCAGGGCATAACGTGATATTACAAAAGAATTGAAATACACAGATTGATTGCGACTCCATTCTCAAATTTGGCTTTGGCTGAGAGCTGCTTCAGTTGCTGCCATAGCTGCTGAGGGTTCGGTCTTCATGAATATACTCTCTCGTCTCTGAAATTAAAAAAAGCATCGGTAACGATGGCTACGACGCTGTTTAGAACAATTCAGTCGAAGCAGTTCTCAGTTATGGGGACTTTGTTGTTCAGACAGAGGAACAATGGAGTTTTGAACTTCTCGGTGAGGTGTTGTCGGATTCAGACGGCGACCCAGGAGAAGAAACAGCCTCAGCAAAGTCGGGTTTCGCCCAGAAACCATAAAAGCGACAAGCTTCATCAGATTCTGAGAGATTACGAACCCATAATTGGCATAGAGACTCATGTTCAGCTCTCTACGCTTACCAAGGCGTTTTGTAGCTGTTCTTACAGTTACGGGTCTCGACCAAACTCATGTATTTGCCCCGTATGTATGGGTTTGCCTGGTGCTTTGCCTGTTATGAACTCCAAAGTCGTCGAGTTCGCTATCAAACTGGGTCTTGCTTTGAATTGCAATCTGTCTTTAAAATCCAAATTCGACAGGAAACAGTACTTTTATCCTGATCTTCCAAAGGGGTACCAAATTTCTCAGTTTGATATTCCTATTGCATCCGGTGGGTATGTTGACTTGGATCTTCCGGTTGAATTTGGTGGTGGGCATAGGAGATTTGGCATCACCAGGGTTCATATGGAGGAGGATGCTGGCAAGCTACTCCATTCAGACAATGGAGATTACTCTCAGGCATGGAAGTTTTTGTTCTTTCTTTCTAATGCTTCATCTGTTTTATATGCAAAGCTAAAAAGTGTAGTCTTTGATCTGTTCCCAGTTCTGTATTTAGGATTCCATCGTTCCCTTTTGGGGTTTTAGCTTTTAGCTCTCTATATTTTGAGCTTTTAGGGTATTGAGAATGCTTTGGTTCTGGTTATGTCATGGTTATCCGATTTTGCTTATAAGAATCTTCCCATACAATGCAGGTTGATTTGAATAGAGCAGGTGTTCCATTGCTTGAAATTGTTTCAGAGCCTGATATGAGAACCGGGATAGAAGCTGCTGAGTACGCGTGTGAATTGCAACGGATTGTGCGGTACTTGGGAATAAGCAATGGAAATATGCAAGAAGGCTCTCTCCGCTGTGATGTAAATATCTCGATCCGTCCAATTGGGCAAACCGAGTTTGGCACCAAGGTGAATAGTTCTTCTGTTGCTGAAATTTCTCTTTCTTATCATCCATTGATTTTTCCTCCGTATGATACTGATGATATGCATTGTACAGTTTACTAATTTGACCTCGAACTCTCTTTTTTCAGGTGGAAATAAAGAATTTGAACTCATTTTCATCCATTAACAGAGCTATCGACTTTGAGATAGAGAGACAGGCACATCTATATAGCCAGGGCCAAAGTGACCAGATCGTAACTGAAACCCGACTCTGGGAAGAAGGAACTGCTCAGGTTCTAGCTGAAACTCTAAATTCCATTCTGCTACAAAGTTAATCAACTCTTCTCTTTTCTTACCAGCAAACTAATCTGTTTCAGACGTTTTGAATCAACATTCAGAAAACGGTAACGATGAGGAAAAAAGAAGGTCTTGCTGATTACCGATATTTTCCGGAGCCAGATCTTCCGGAAGTGATTCTGACCCAAGAGTACGTTAATAGCATCCACTCTTCTTTACCAGAACTTCCCGAAGCCAAACGCAGACGATATGAGGCAATGGGCCTAAGCATGTATGACGTGCTTTTCCTTGCAAACGACACAAGTGTAAGTCCAATATGCTTTATGCTGAAAACTTGTATCGTTGGTGATGACAATACGAAATTTTCAATCATTCCAAGTACTTGCAAATTTTGGGGTAATAGTTATCGATGACTAATATGAATATCTTTGTTGGGAATGAATGTCTCAGGTTGCTGAATATTTCGATGCGGTCATTGCCAAAGGCGCTGAAGTGAAGCTGGCGACAAATTGGATAATGGGCGATATAGCTGCCTACTTGAAAAACGAAAAGCTTTCGATCAATGACATTAAACTTACTGCCCAAGAGTTAGCCGGGCTCATAGCTGCAATAAAAGATGGAACCATTAGTGGAAAGATCGGCAAGGAGGTTAGGGCTGCTTTCACATCGTACCGATTCATTCCATTTCTCTTTTCGAATTGTTACGAAACATTTCTCCGGTGGGTCGATTCAGTTTCGAGCGTTTTCCACTTTGCAGATACTGTTTGAGCTGTTGGCCAAAGGTGGGACTGTCAAGGGAGTAATAAAGGAAAAAGACTTAGTTCAGGCAAGTTACATTTTCTTAAAACCTGTTAGTGATACTAGAACAAGGCGAAAAGGGCGAAACTATGGTACGAGTTGGTTGATGAACTTGAAAGGGTCATCGTGTTTAATCAGCAAACATAACGTTTGATTTTGATTTACTTGACGGGTTTAACATGGATCCGCTCCACGAGAATTTCTCTGGATCTTCTTACGCATATCCTTCCACCGATTCTTGGGGTAAGAAGGATTTTTTCGCCTGATCTAATAAAATCTGACGCATTTTCTGCAGATAACGGATCCGTCGGAGATTGAGAAAATGGTTGAAAAGGTGATCTCCGAGAATCCAAAGCAGCTCGAGCAGTATCGGGCCGGGAAAACCAAGCTGGAAGGCTATTTCGCCGGCCAGGTATGCTTATAATATAAGCTGAAAATCCATTTTCTCAACACTCCCATCTCTTCAAAGGGTTAAACCACTTGGTTTTTATTTTGTGCCTTAATTGTTTCAGGTGATGAAGATTTCGAAAGGGAAGGCAAATCCAGGGTTATTGAACAAAATCCTCTTGGAGAAGCTCAATGCCAAGAACTGAACTTCACTATTCTACTGCTCATTTTTTAAATGATTCAGGACCAAAACCCAGATGGGGATTTACTTAGAATGGCATTTGTCTTTTGAAGATGTTTGGATATTTTCTGATTATCTTCAAGTTGGAGCACAAAAAATGGTTTCTCCACTTGAAGTTGGAAATGCTCTTCAATGAGCAGCCTCCTGCAGTTTTTTTTCAATAAAAAAGAATTCGTTTTCTTTTTAATTTTTTTTTTTACAAAATTTTTCTTGTCTGTGACAATACCCACTTATGTAATCCGATCAAGTGGTTTCTGGGATCATAATCTTTTTAGGATTTTGTCGAAATGCAGCATCATGTGCTGTTTTTCTTTTCTTTTCAAGTTGGCGTCTCCTAAAATTAACAAAACAGAGTCTCTTCTCTTCTGGCATATCCTGAAATATAGACTCTCTCTCTCTCTCTCTCTCTCTCTCTCTCTCTTCTATACCGATAAGGGCAAACAGAAAAAACGGCCGAAGTGATCATCAAACAGCTTTTGGGGATCAACATGACAAAACACCAAACAAATGGTGCGACAGCGAATCGTGATGTGATGATCTATGTCCTGAAATTTCTGATCTTTCTCCAATCCAAAAAAAAAAAAAAAACCGTTTGAAACCTATGGAAATGGTGGTGATATAGCAAAGCTTTTGGGTTAGATTCCTTTTTAGGTCTAAATTTCTGCTGATGAATCGGTCAGTTTCTACTAGTTTATTTGATTTCCGTAGTTTGTCGGCTATTATGCGGAGCCAGTGGATTTACTGTCCGAGATGTTGTCCGACCCGCGGAATCAATCGGTGTCTGATCTGAAAGGTTATTACGATGGATTCTCCGCCGTTACCAAAAAAATGTAATACCCCTAACTCTTCAAAAATAAAATTATACTCCCTCCGTTTCAAAATAGTTGTTGTTTGAGAGAGAGACAGAGAGAGAGAATGGAAAATGGCCGAGGCCCACCACCGCTACCTGCGGCTCGGAAGATAATGGTGGTGGCAGACCCATCTCGGGAATCGACGGCCGCTCTCCAATACGCTCTCTCGCATGCCGTGCTCGAACAGGACGAGCTCATCCTCGTCCACATCGAGAACAATACTTCCACCTCCTCTTGGAAGAACACTTTTTCGAATTTCCTCAGATTACCGAGCTCCCTCTCTTCTTCTTCTTCTCCTTCTGTATCGTTCAATGCCTCGGGTAGATCCT